TAAAATCGAAGCAAATCACAAATATTAAAATTTTGGAAAGCGGATATCCGATCCGATCCGTAAATATATAAATATATGTATATTTTGATTATATTTAAAATTTTAATTGTATAAAATTATATAATTATTATTTTAGCACATGATTTTGAACAATTCTATTCAAATTATTACTTATATAAAAGTATTACATAAAAAGAGAAAATATTTTTGACAATTATATTTTTTTCGTAAATTTTGTGTTATTATAATTGTAACTTAAACTTTAAAAAATTACAAAATCTATAAATTTACTAGTTCTTTTAAGTTTTATTTTATATATCATGCAAACAAATATTTTTGCAAAGCAAATTTGTATCAAAATCTTAAGATTATTTGTACTAATTAAAATGGATGAGGTATCCGTAAATATTCGTAAATATCCGCAAATATTTATTTATTTTCCGGATATCCGTTTTTCCGGATATCCGTATTTTTTCGAAGCAAAGCAAATACCAAAATTAGATATCCGTAACATTCGAAGCAAATCACAAATATCTTAAAAGACCCGGATATCCGATCCGCGCCCACCCCTAGCCTTGCCCATGTGCATTGTTCGTCCTCTTGTACAAGACTATATTCGTCATTTTCACTTCGACACAACAAATTGATAACACTTATCATCATCATCCCATGAAGTTTCTGTTCCTGCCCGGTCAAAAGAAAAAAATAAAAATAAATGTAATAGTTGAAGTAAAAGACATGAAACTCCTTTCCTAGAGAAGTAATTATTTAAAGAAGTAGAAGAAAGAGAGGTTTGGTCTTTCTTTTCTGATTCTGAAAAACTGTCTTAATAAGAGTGAGAAGTACTGTTCATAGAAAGTGTGTCCCTACCAAACAAAACTGTCTTCACTGCCATCTTCAATAATACTTTACGGGACCCCTCTCCCTCTCCTCCTAGTCCCAACGCACCATCTCATTGCGTATATACTGATATACATACATATAGTATGTAAGCTTTGTGGATCCAGCCACTTCCTAATAACAATTATACAGGCAGACATATGATAAGAAAACGAAATAAATACAGTTAATACTGTATGTAACACTAGTGACACCAAGATATCTAATAGGCGACGGAGTTTGGTTCCGAACCTCTTAGTATACTGAATTCAGAAGAAGTGGTTAAATGATGAATTTGTTTTTGATAATATATTGAATTATCAACCATTTTTTCAAATTATAATCGTCTTTAATGTTGGATATAAGATTTATTTCTATTCAAGACCAACTAGAAAATAAATTCCAGTCCAACTTAAAGTGAAGATGACTCCAAAAAAATCAAAGAAAGTAAAACAAAACAAAAATAAAAATTTAGCCGACTCTCCCATATAAATATAAGAGATAAATCATCTAATCGACTATTCACAATCAATTGACAAAGCGGTAGAAGGATTAGAGTATTAGCAGTCATAGTTATTTAACCTAACTATCTTGTATAATAGTTACATGCAGACATCTGATAAGAAAACGAAAGAATTACAGTTAATATGTAACACAAGTGAAACCAGCACATCGAATTCGGAAGAAGAATGGTTGATTGATGATTTATTTTCAGTAAATACTTTGAATTATCAAACAGTTTTAAAATTGTTTAGAATTAAAAATAAATTCAGTCATGACTTAGTAAAAATAAATTCAGTCCAATTTAGTAGGAAAGACGACTCAAAAAATTAGTTTGAAAAAAATGAAGTGGAACGAAAAAGAAAATATTTGGCTAACTCTCACGTCAAAAAACAAGAAAGAAATCAGCTAAGTAGCTTATTCATAATCAATTGATAAAACGGTATAGAGATTTGGGTATTAGCATTTACAACTTTTAACCTAAATCTGTGACAATCTCATAACTTTTTTGTTTGAGAAAGAGCATACAAATTTCATAATTTTTCATCATTCATCCTCTCAAATTTTAAAGAGATAAACAGTTTTAATGTTAAAACATCTTTAACAACAGTCTTTTATTCTCTTATTTTCAAGGAATTTTACATTCTAACATTTTCTATTAAGAGAATGAACAATGCACACTGTTCACCCTTTTAAAACACAATTTAATTTTTATTATCTATTATATTAAAAGAGAAGTCATAACTTCTCATCCATGTGTGATTTTTTATAAAATGGACTATCTACTAGAGTTTGTCACATTATATATTTAATCATTAATAACATTCATTAGATTTACTAATAACATTTATTGGGCTTACTAGAAATTTTTATTGGGCTAATAAAAATTAGATGATCCATTGAATTTATAGATAGTATAATAAAATACATGTTTAAAATAAACTTATATAATTTAATATTGTAATATTTTTAAGTTAATTATTTATATATTTTTGATGTTAACTTTAAAAATTATAGTTTATTTTTTAAAATGACAAAATATCATTTTCTAACAATAATTAATCTATACTATATAATAATTAATCACAATATTCGATATACACACCTTATAGAATATATCATTTTCGATATGCACACCTTAGATAATATATACAAATTTAGAAGTAAAAACAAAATATTTATATAAAAATAAATGAAAACAAATACCCGCGCGGTTGCGCGGGTTGAGATCTAGTATATGTTTAAAGATGATGTATTTATTGTTTTTCATGTTACATTTTAATATCATAAATACTATAATTATGGTCATATAAAATGAATTTTAAATAGTAATAATATATTCATATATATTGTATACCAAAATATAATGATATTAATTAAACATATTATTTCACACAACAATAATAATACATTATAAAATTTTATACAAATTAAAATTATAATAAAATCATAATATTTTACATTAAAATAAAAATTACATAATCTGAAATATTACACATTAAAATATATATATAGATATACTAAATCTTTTTACTAATTTTGTCAATATCATATATTAATATGTGCTTATTTTTTATTTTTAAAATTTAATAATTATAATTAATTATTAATAAAATTGAAGATTAAACTTTAAAATAAAATTAAAAAATATTTGAAGACCGTTGTTGGAGAATTATCCCCTCATCTCTATATCTGAAGGGTGGATCCCATGAAAAATGCGGAAGCTAGAGATGTTCTTATTTTATATAATAGCCAAAAAAGTTTAATAAAATCATTTTGAAATAATAGATCATCGAATTCACGCTATTTTGCAAAAAAATAAGCCACACTCATTCAATACTTAAAACTATTTTCTTATGTAAGATAATAAATTATCTCACATTAATTTTTTTATTCCCCCCGAATGATATCATTACTTACTAAATTCCCAAACTCCTTGTTTTGCCTGCGAGCATCATAACCTCTATCTTTACTCTTTTTCCTTCACACATGAAGTTTTTGCCAAGAGAGATATATATTGATGGGCGACGAAAATTATGTTTCACATTGACCACGTAACAAATTTAAACAATCCTTATCACCATTTCAATGAGAATAATTAAAATCCAATGAAGACTAGACATCCACGTATGTTTCCCCATGATGTATATATATATATATAATACGAATAAAAAGATCACATAGATACGTAAATATTCTAAAATATACGAAAATAAAGAACTGTATAGTTTTTTTTTTTTTGAACAAAGAACTGTATAGTTATGTATGTGTATTTTAATACATGCACTGAGCCTCTTCTTCTCCCTCATTGTCTTCTCTCCTTTTATATACGTGAAAGCTGCATTTATTAACAACACTATAGAAAGTGTAACACTCGAAAGGAATGTTTTTGGTTGAGAAGAGAGAGAGAGAGAGACGCTGAAGAAGAAGAGATTGTTAATTACTTAATTTAAAGACCTATTTGAAGCTGCCAAATCCACTATAGAGATTCTTAAACGCGTCAATTGATTCTCATGTAAGTCTCTCTTGTAAAAATTTTGACTTTTTCTAATGAATTCTCATAGCTAGAATCTGTTTTGTGCATTTACTCTTCTTCTTCTTCCTCTTTCTTTCAGATGGTTTAACACATTCAATGCAAAAATGCTCTAAATTCATTAAAACAAGAAATATGCAACCTTCTCATTTCCTCTCTCTGTGACATTCCTTATTTCTTACCACTATTTATTGTTGTATCCTCGTACCTCCTCTTTGTTCTGTCTTAAAGAAACCACCAACCAAGCCAGTAATATCTTCAAGAATCACTTAAACTTTCATGCTTTTTAAAAAGGGTAACCTTAAAGTCCTAAAACTAATATTTTTTTGTCTTTCTTGAAGCTAATTATGGAGGGACTAATGAAATTTGGAGGATTAGAAGAACAGTTCAGTCAATTTTCAGATAACGCAATTGATGAGAAGACCCCATTTCTGCAAATGCTACAATGCATAGAACCCACTTTTAGTACTGCAGAACCAAACCAGACATTCCAGTCACTTCTCCAGAGCCAAACCCTAGAACCAGAGAGCTGCCTCACTCTTGAAACCATCAAAAGAGATCCGGGTCAAGATGAAGACCCGGTAAAGGATCCGAAAACCGAAGATGGAGCGGCAAAGGTCAAGGAGAAACGAAAACGTAAACGGACAAGAGCTCCAAAGAACAAAGATGAAGTTGAGAACCAAAGGATGACTCACATTGCCGTTGAACGTAACCGGAGACGACAAATGAACCAACACTTAAACTCTCTTCGGTCTCTTATGCCTCCAACCTTTCTTCAACGGGTAACAAAATATTTTAAAATTTAATGATTCAAAGATTTAAAGATTTCTCTAAAAACATAAAAAAGTGATTAATGATTTAAAGATTTAATAATTCAAAGATTTAATGATTCAGAGATTTAAAGATTTTATAAAATCCATTTTAATTTGATCCATTTCCATTTTATTTTAAAATTTAATGATTCAAAGATTTAAAGATTTTTCTAAAAACATAAAAAAGTGATTAATGATTTAAAGATTTAATAATTCAAAGATTTAATGATTCAGAGATTTAAAGATTTTATAAAATCCATTTTAATATGATTAATGATTCAGAGATTTAAAGATTTTATAAAATCCATTTTAATTTGATTAATGATTCAGAGATTAAAAGATTTTATAAAATCCATTTTAATTTGATTCTTTCCATGTTTAACGTTAGGGTGATCAAGCTTCGATAGTAGGAGGAGCCATAGATTACATAAAGGAGCTCGAGCAGCTTTTGCAATCTCTAGAGGCTGAGAAACAGAGCGAAGGAGCTAGTGAAAACCCTAAAACGGCGTCGTCTTATTCTTCATCTTCTTCTCGTGCATGCACTAACTCATCTGTTTCTAGCGTCTCGCCGACGTCGGAAGATGGGTTTACGGCGAGATTTGGAGGCGGAGAGACGGCGGATGTGGAAGCTACGGTGATACAGAACCATGTGAGCTTGAAGGTTCGTTGTAAGAGAGGAAGAGGACAGATCTTGAGAGCTATCATCTCCATTGAAAACCTAAAGCTCTCGATACTGCATCTCACTATCTCTACTTCCTTTGACTTTGTCTTCTACTCCTTTAATCTCAAGGTAATCTATATTTCAATATTCCTTATCAAGTTTGCAAATAATTACGCATTATTATTATGATTATTTTTGTTTAATTTGCAATTTAACTTGTTCAGTTGATAATTAGAGAAAGATTAAGGAATCTGCATTTATACATCAGGGCATAATATCTTACAATTTTTATTTTCAAAATGGAGATAAGATTTTTGAGTAAAAAAAATAAATAAATAAAAAATCGAGTAATAAATATGATTTTTTTTTAAAAGTAATCCATTTTTGCTACATTATAAAACTGAAATAAAATAAGATTCAGAATAAATTTTAATACAGAATTCATATAAAGCTAATTATTTGAATTTTGGCGAGATAAAATTATTTTGCTGCCTTCGTGAATGCAGATAGAAGATGGGTGTAAGGTACGATCAGCTGATGAGATAGCAACAGCCGTTCATCAGATTTTCGAGCAAATCAACGGTGTAATGATGTGGTCAAATCGCAGTCGAACTTAGTTGACTTCTGACTCTTTTTCTTCCCTGTAGTGTGTTTAGCTTTAGGTTACAAAATGGAACGTGAAATAAATAAATAAAACCTAAATTGACTTTTTTGAGGGGGTTAACCAGTTTAATTGTTCCTTTAGCTTTTAATTCAATCGCTGAGTATTATATTTTCATTTATGGCCACTTATAAATGTTACTGTTGTTGCGTGTGACTTTCGAACTAACCTACGAGTTTTTTTTTTAATTCTCATGGAGTAAATGTTAAGAATTTGACTTCGATCGTCCGTATCAAAATGGTTACGGAAATGGAAACAAAGACAATTAAAGCTGAACATCATCATTACGTTAGAAAAAGTCGTATTCAGTCTTCTTCGCATTCTCTCGTTATAAGATTTTATCTCAGTACTTACTATATCTTTCATGCGTCTGACAATTCTACGCTCGATCTAAAGGACCACCTACGATATATATAAATCAAAGATTTTATTAGTTGTTTTATTATATAATGACACTAGTTCTCACTTTTTATCTTTACTTACAAAATCGATGAAAAGGTGGCAGATAAAATTTACTATTCCAATGTTTCGAAAGTATCATAAAGGGAAGTCTATGGTCAGAGCTAAGTCTCATTTAGGGCTGGGCATTTTATTCGTTAAATTTGATTCGATTCGTTATTCGTTTCGATTCGATCCGAAAATTCCGGATATCCGTAAACTTTCGAATCGAAGCAAATACTAAAAATCAATATTCGTAAAAATCGAAGCAAATCACAAATATTAAAATTTTGGGAAGCGGATATCCGATCCGATCCGAAAATATATAAATATATGTATATTTTGATTATATTTAAAATTTTAAATGTATAAAACTATTATTATAGCTTATGATTTGACTAATTACATTCACATTATTACTTATATAAAATTATTAGATAAAAAGAAGAGAAAAATTATGAAAATTATTAAAAAAATCTTAAGTTTTGTGTTATTATAGTTGTTAACTTAAACATAAAAAATTATAAAATATGTAAATTCACTACTTCTTTATTTTTTATTTTATATATCATGTAAAAAAATTGTACAAAATAAATTTATATAAGATTATTTGTAACGGATGAGATATTCGTAAGTATTCGTAAATATCCGCAAATATCTGTTTATTTTCCGGATATCCGTTTTTCCGGATATCCGTATTTTTCCGAAGCAAAGCAAATACCAAAATCAGATATCCGTAACATACGAAGCAAATCACAAATACCTTCGAAAACCCGGATATTCNAAGATTATTTGTAACGGATGAGATATTCGTAAGTATTCGTAAATATCCGCAAATATCTGTTTATTTTCCGGATATCCGTTTTTCCGGATATCCGTATTTTTCCGAAGCAAAGCAAATACCAAAATCAGATATCCGTAACATACGAAGCAAATCACAAATACCTTCGAAAACCCGGATATTCGATCCGTGCCCACCCCTAGTCTCATTGACACATCCGTCTCCCTCCTAAAACGTAAACTTCAGCCTACTTACTACTATTACACATTTACTTTTTCAGTATTTTTTCCAATTACTTTTCCAGTATTTTAATCATCTATTTTGAAAAATAAATTTAACAGAAGCGGGAAAACTATTAAGAAAATATCAATAAAATGATAAAATACGTGAATATTAAAATTAACCCAAAAATATTATATACAGACAGCAATTACACATTATTAAAATATTGTGTGCAAGACAAGATCAGATGTCAGGCCTCATCTACTGGCAACAACCCTAGATCTGTTCCAAGTTTTCTGGTCAAAGTCAAACCATTTGTAAAGTACAGATAAATTTCCGAAATAAAAGAAAATATTTTTTTTTTTTTGGGCAACTAAAAGAAAATCATTATTAATGATAGTATATAGTAAACTACTCTTTTGGGCTCAACCAAATACTTTTTAAGAATATTAAAGCTTAATTAAGCTACCAGGAAAGGCCCATTTAAGCCCAGCTTAGATTTGGAACCTTATACATAGCACGTGAGATTAATTGGCGCAATAATCAAATAGGGTATACAAATTTTTCTTTTTTTTGGGTATACAAATTTTCAGAAGAAAAAGAAACTATTGAAAAATGAATAAATACAGTAAATAATAAGATTTTTATTTAATTTTAATTTCGTACTTTCTCTTGGACATAATATAATACTAATAAACTAAATTGATAAAAATGAAGAAACTATAATTGTTAAAAGGAAAAAAGAAGAAGAAGAAGCAAGCAGGATTCATACCCTCACCAAACTAGATAAGAAACAGCTTTGTAAGCCACATTAAGCTAAAGGGACTAACGGTATTTGGCGCTCTCTTCTTTTTGGATCGGATTCAGATTGATTCTTTTGGGCTTCGTTTTGTACTGGATTATAATCATTGTATTAAATCATCCAAATTTTTTAAAAATAACTAAAAGAATTAGCAAAATATAATCAATATATATATATATATATATAAATTATTTAAAAATATAATTTAAAAATAGTTAAACTACCTAAAATAATGAAAATTTATTCAATATAACAAATAAAACGAACTACAAAAATATTTAAAATACTCTAAAATATTTAAATTACCTCATATATATACAATATTAACATACTTAACAAATTTTAGATATTTGGATTTTGGTTGTATCCAAAGTCTAAAATACCACACTTTAAAATTCCGTTTTTTTTTGTATACAACCAAAATTAAGGTTCAGGGTTAAAACGTCCGGGTCTAGTCCTAGGCCGGCATACCCATGCTTACCAAAAAAAAAAGTAGATTCTTAACCCATCAAACTAATGATATGTGCATATATATGATGTAATGTAATATACTATACAACAGTATATTTTTGTCGATCCTACTGCTGATTTCATACATAAAAATATTATTTCCCATATGATATAGTGAAAACATGATACAAAACTATATCGTACCTATTTAATACATCTCTTCTGAATTCACGACGAATAAACAATGCTACACTGGGAGAACCAAATCAGGTCATCGCACATTGGTTGAACGTGCAAGCAACTCTAAACGCGTTTTACAGGAAAAACCGGGACACCAAAGTACCGTTCATACGAATAAAATAGTCAGTATATGTATTCATATTCCAATTTATTAAAAAGATAACCAAACAATATTTTGAAGGTGAACAATCTATTTTATCACAAGAACTATCATATATTATCATCATATCTCCACCACATGGTAAAAAATTCAACCAAGCAATTTTTGAAGAATAATATTTTCACCAAATGTAAATGTTCTTCTGTTGAAGCAAGAATGTTGTGATAGTCTCTAATTGACTGAACAAAATGTCAGGCACTTTTTCTTTTCTTGTCTTGTGCACGTCTATTCTTCTGTTGAATTTTTTTTATGTAAAATATTCATATAAACATATCATTAGCTTAGATTCACATATAGAACGTGCATGGACCAACCAACCATCCATTATCCATAATATATTCTCAATAGTATTATAATGGTGGGTCCTAATATTTATTTGTTTGATCACCATGCATTAGAGCATTATCTTCACCATGCATTAGAGTAGGGGTAGGAACGGATCGAATATCCGGGTTTTTTAAGGTATTTGTGATTTGCTTCGAATGTTACGGATATCTAATTTTGGTATTTGCTTTGATTCGAAAAAATACGGATATCCGGAAAATAAATAGATATTTGCGGATATTTACGAATATTTACGGATATCTCATCCATTTTAATTAGTACAAATAATCTTAAGATTTTGATACAAATTTGCATGATATATAAAATAAAACTTAAAAGAACTAGTGAATTTATAGATTTTGTAATTTTTTAAAGTTTAAGTTACAATTATAATAACACAAAATTTAAGAAAAAAATATAATTGTCAAAAATATTTTATCTCTTTTTATGTAATACTTTTATATAAGTAATAATTTGAATAGAATTATTCAAAATCATGTGTTAAAATAATAATTATCTAATTTTATACAATTAAAATTTTTAATATAATCAAAATATACATATATTTATATATTTACGGATCGGATCGGATATCCGTTTTCCAAAATTTTAATATTTGTGATTTGCTTCGATTTTAACGGATATTGAATTTTAGTATTTGCTTTGATTCGAAAGTTTACGGATATCCAGAATTTTCGGATCGAATCGAAACGAATAACGGATCAAATCAAATATAACGGATAAAATGCCCAGCCCTACATTAGAGCATTATCTCAAGAATATGCTCTCCAATCAATTTCGCTGTATATGATTTCTTAGTGTGAACTGATACTACGTACACCGCATGTTATTTCAATCTAATTAAATTACAATGGGAATTTTTCCAAGATTTGCTTTATTAATCACTTAAAAAAAACACAAAGTAGTAAAAAGTAACATCTTTAGCCACATGACTAAAACAAATTTTAATTAAAAAACACGAAAGAGAGTTAAAAACAACCACCTCTCTCACAGTACCGTTAGTTAGTACAACATCAGCTTCCTTGTTCTCGAAGAAATACGAAAACCCCTAACTTAGAAATCACTAGAAGGAAGTGGTTCATGCCCATTACCATCAATAAAGATAGTGTCATAAACAATAGCTGCAATGGCTGCACCTATAAATGGACCGACCCAATAGACCCAATGGTTCGTCCAAGTCCAGCTAACCACGGCAGGACCAAACGAAACCGCTGGGTTCATCGAAGCACCATCAAACGCACCACCAACGAGAATATTAGCTCCAACGATTAACCCAATCGCTAAAGGAGCAATGATTCCAATATCACCTTTCTTGGGATCCACGGCAGTAGCGTAAACAGTGTAAACCAACCCAAACGTCATCACAATCTCGAAAACGACTGCGTTCCACGGTGTGACTCCATGAGAGAGCGAAAACGCTGCCGTTTCCATCCCGCCGGTACTTACCTTGAGTAACAAGCAAGCTACTACTGCTCCTAGTAACTGAGCGATCCAATAAAGAATAGCTCTCATAAACGTTATATTCCCACCTATGAAAGCTCCAAACGTGACCGCGGGATTCACGTGACCACCTGAAACGTTTGCTCCAACGGAAACGGCCACGAACAATGCAAACGCATGAGATAAAGACGCTGCCACTAAACCAGAAGGTGTGGCTGGACCGTCTCCGGTTAGCTTTCCAAACGCCATACCGGAACCTTGACCTGCGAAAACGAATATAACCATCGAGAAAAACTCAGCAAAAGCCGCTCTGATCGCATCTGGACGGCTAGCTTCTCCAGGCGAACCAATCGCAATTCTATTGATAGCCATTTTGTTACAAAAAACACTTTATGTTTGCTTTTGTGTTTCTTACGTTATATATAGTTAATGAGGGAGTGGGAAGTGTGTGTTGGAGAATCGTTCAAGAGACTGAGATTAGTGTTTTACGGTGGGCCCCTAGTTTTTTGAGAGATCGAACGGTCTTTATTAATCCTGATTAGTTTATCAGTTAAGCAACTTTAACCCGTGTTTCTCGCTTTCTATAAAATAGGTCATAGCTCGCAGTTGATGAACACGCGCTTTACTGTTTTCTTTGCCTTGTTATTGGTCTTTTCTCCTTACTTTCCGCAAGACTGTTCTGTTCTTGAAACATCCATTCCAAGGTTCGACGACTTTCCTTGGTTCTTCTTTTTTGCTACTTAGATCTCAATCTTTTGATGGTTTGAAGATGATTGATGGATTAGTGTGTGTTGTAGGGGTTTTAGTTGTAGTAGAATCTGACTTTTAGTGTTAAATCTTTGAGTAATAATGGATTTGAGTGTTAAATCTTTGAGTAATAATGGATCCTATTACACATGAACCTCAATAGTTAAGACACAGAAGCTAACCATTTGTGGTTTGCTTTTCTTGAATTGCTCTGTTTATTAGATGAGTGAAGAAGTGAAAGAGAATCAATCTGACAAGCTTCAGAGAACAGCTCCACGTTTAAACGAGAGGATCCTCTCATCTTTATCAAGGAGATCGGTTGCTGCTCATCCATGGCATGATCTTGAAATAGGTAAAATCACTAATCCATAGACCATCTCCAATGGTTTTCCTCATTTTTTTCTTCAAAATGAAATAAAGTCAAAATGAGATTATGATTTGCTCCAATGATTCTCTTCATTTTCTTCTTAAAATTATTATTATATTGATTCTTCAGTTTCTTATCTATTACAAATAGCACTTTTTATTTCATAAGATTTTAGAATATACTCACTTATTTTTAAATTATATAACTAAACAAATTTTATTTTATAAAAAGAAAATATTTATTACATTAATAAGATACATAATAACATACAAAGTAATAGTAGAATTATACTTAAATAATACTATTACTATATTTTCCCACAAATAATCAATCAAAAAATTTTGAAGAGAGAAATGAGCTTCTTTATTTTCTTTTAATTATATATTACAATTTAGAAAATTATAAATTATATTTTAATAACTAATTATTGGTATTTATATTTTAAGAAGTTTAATCTATATATACATATTAGATATAAAGTTAAAAAGTTATGTTTAGTGTTAATGTTAATGTTTTATTTATGCATAAAATAAAGATTGTCAAAAAGTAAAGGACTATTATGAAAATAAAAAAAGATTGACACTAAAATGAGATTGTGAATAGTGTTCCCTCAAATTTGAGGGAATACTTATCATATCTTCATTTTTTCCTTCAAAATGAAGTACTATTGAAAATGAATTTCCTTCATTTTTGATGTTTTTCCTCAAAATGAAATATCATTGAAGATGTTTTTAGATTATTAAAAAAATTTATATATAAATAGTGTTCTGAGTCTTATATAGTTGATGATTTTGAAGTCTTTTTTTAAATTAAATTATTATTGGGAAAATGAAAAATTGTCTGCAGGACCTGGAGCACCGGCGATTTTCAATGCGGTAAGTCTTATGCTTGATGATGTGATGATAATCTGAAATGATGTTAAAATCACAAAAGAGAATCTCATATGAACCATTTGGCTTTTTGAATGATATTTAGGTTATTGAGATTTCAAAGGGTAGTAAGGTCAAATATGAACTTGACAAAAAGACCGGACTCATTAAGGTAAACAAAATATTAAACCTAGAAAATATTATGTTCGAATATTATTTTAGGGCCATGAAATATAATTGATGTCTCTCAGGTTGATCGGATTCTGTATTCATCGGTTGTGTATCCTCACAACTACGGTTTTATCCCCCGCACATTATGTGAAGACAATGATCCTCTAGATGTGCTAGTCATCATGCAGGTTTGATTGAGTCTTATGTTCAACTTCACTATACTAACAAAAAAAACCAAATCCATATATTAAAGAAAGTTATTTCTGTGCAGGAGCCTGTGCTCCCAGGTTGTTTTCTGCGTGCCAGAGCTATTGGATTAATGCCTATGATTGATCAGGTAACATTTTAAATATCTGTTCAGTCCTTTTGGTTTCAAATTGTGTAAGCATTCTGAGTATTTGTCTTGTAATAAAGGGAGAAAAAGATGACAAGATCATTGCGGTTTGTGCTGATGATCCTGAGTATAAGCATTACACTGACATCAAAGAACTTCCACCTCATCGTCTCTCAGAAATCCGGCGATTCTTTGAAGATTGTATCCTTTTAGTTCTTCAATATTTAAATTAGTTTTCTTCTTCATTAGTAAATAAACAAACCATTGATTTTGCGATAACTTTAACCAAAAATTTTAACAGACAAGAAGAATGAGAACAAGGAAGTTGCTGTAAATGATTTCCTACCTAATGGTCCTGCCGTTGAAGCCATTCAGTACTCAATGTAAAGTTTCTTATTATTACACAGAAATTTCAACTATTTTTATAACAAACATCTTGACAAGAGAAAATCTTGATTTTAAAATTATTTATAGGGACCTTTACGCTGAGTACATTCTTCACACCCTGAGGAGATAAAACAAGAACAGTCCTGCCAAAATTTTGCTCTGCAAATCTCAGATTTTGTTGCAGAGGAAAGGAAAACAAAACAAGAATTTATCTGATATTTGGATTTTGAATAAGCACGTGTTCCTGACTTGGCTTCATAGCTTGTTGCTGTTGTTGTTGTCGTCTTCTGGGGTCTATTGTCTAAACAATAAATAACTCTTATTAAGAGTTGACAAAAAAAAAACTCTTATTAAGATTTGTTTCTCACTTGTATTGTAATCTTCAATCCATTTAAGTCTTATAGTAAAAATTTGAGTGTCACTGTCACTTCAACACTAAATCCAAATCCCAACAAGATTTGTAGATCAGAAGAGATTGTCAGGTGGTGGAAATTTTATTGTGAAATTGCATCCTATACACACCACTTTCTCTCTAATTAAGTTAATACCCTAAACCTCCATGTACCTTAATTGCTAGAAATTAACTTGTCTCATGTGGTTTGTTAATTTTCTTATTATTTTTGGATATTTAGCCAATTAACTCAACTTTATTTTCCTCTTCTTGTCTGATAGTTTTACTTTTATTGGCTGTCCACCTATAATACTACGCCTGGCCCAAAATCAATCCTTTTTCAGTATTCCTACCACTTATTGTTTACTGTTTTTCTTTATAAATAAGAGATTAGATAGATGTTTTGTCTGCAGGTGCGACTACAATAATTTTACAAATATTTATATAAATATATATTATTCATTCAAATACTATTTAAATTAATTATTTTTATACATTCAAAATATTTAATAATAAATTAAATATCATAATATAAATAATTTATTACTTAAAAAAAATTGAAAATACTCACACATTTGAAATATTTAGTGATAAATTAAATATAAAATTATTTACATATGACAAAAATTTTCAATATAATAAAATTATATTTTATTGCATAAAATAATAAACTTGAAAGACTCATGTATAAATAAAATTATATATAGGGATTTATCTTTTTTTTTTAAAAAAAAAGAGGTAAAATAAGAATCTGGATAACAAAATATAAACTATTTTCTATAAAGATAATTAGCAAATCAATGAAATTTGTTTTTAGTTTATGGTTAATTACATATTAAAAATCTAATTATTTATTAAGGTTAATAAAAACTAACATAATATAAAATACTTTAGATAATGATTATTATCAAATTAGCATAATATAAACTATCAAATTACTGAAATTTATTTTTAATTTTTAATTTATCATATATTAATTTTTTTTATTAATTATTCATTAAATCTAGTAATGTATTTAGTTAGTCTAAATTTTAAGGTGAAAGTTTATAGAAGAAAAATCACTTCACAACTAACAGTATAGAGATAGATTGATTATATACTGAAATTTTAGTTAATCCTGGAGTTTTTTTTTGTGTGTGTATGTATATATATTTGTGAATCCAGATATGTGATTGAACCAATTAACTCAGTGATCAGTATATAAATTGGTTAGAATTTAATAAAAAAATCTGTCTTTTCAAAATTTGATAAAACCTGGTCAAAATCTAAGAAATCACCTCTAATCCGCGGTTTGGCAATGGTTAATCAAATCAAAATCTCTATAAATCTGATAATATCATTAATTGATTAAACTTCTGATATATTTTAATAGTAAAACAAAATAATAAGCTCTTTGATTTATGATTCCTTAGATTTTGATAAAATTAACTTTTACTATAGTGTTTAGAAAAATAAAAAGAATAATACAGAAAAACTAAAATTTATCTAGCTTTATTTTATTTAAATTATTGATAATTTTTATTATAATACTATTTAATTATTTATTAAATTTTAGTCAATGTTCTAAAAATTAGTCAAATGTTTTTTTGGAAAATATATATTGAAATCAAAAGAAAACCTAAATATTCTATTATATTTGTAAATAAAACATTATCTTTTATATTAAATTATACTTTCAGTTGTTAATATTATTTATTAACATATTATTAGATATTAAATTAATTAATTTTTGAACTACTGGTTTACAATCGATCCAATAATCCCATGATTTAGAAAGTAATATGTTTAGTGTTTGGAATAAATTTAAGAAATTGATATATGTGTCTATATATGTTATTTTATGAATATTAGAACTCTTTATGTCTGACAATTTTGTTTTGGCAGAAATTATCTTGTAGAATTTTTATGTATTCCGTAAATTTATTGTTATTTGTTTTTCTTTTGATTAATCAAGAGTGTCTGATAGGTTGAGATGCAATCGACGAATTCTTTGGAAGTTTATTCATTGGTGACATACAAATCCAATTGTTCTATGTACGTAGGAGTTAGAGATCCATACTACCTAACCAGATGAGGAGTTAGCAATTTCACATTGGAGGATAATCCAGATAACTTCTCATTTAGAGAAACCACTAAATCATTATTATTTTTGGATTTTTGAATCGAAATGAATACTTATTATATATATAGTCCAAATATTTCTCCAACTAGTGTCCGTATCTTAATATATCACTAGATCATGATCCACACAGTTGCGCAGATTTTATTTTTTCCGGTATATGCTATATAATTTAGTTTTATATAATTTTAAAAATTTCCAATTCGCTTTTATATTTATAGAACAATATCAAAACAGGTTTTTGTATTAATAGCATCAAACGGTGTATTATGTAGATATAACCGTGCAATGAAAATACTAATTTTGTACGTTTGTTCGAAATGCAAAATCAAAATCAAATTTAACTATTTGCGTTAAAAAAATATTAAGAGTTTAGTTACTTGTGATCTTAATATTTATCCAAAATTTTAAAATGATATATAAATTTATAGAATTTTCGGTCTTGACATTTACTTTATAATTTAGGTTCAAATTCAAACTTAACTTTAGTCTTAATTTTGCAAGTGCGGAATATTTTATGATGAAAAATTTCATAAATAACTTAAAAATATTTTGATAATCTGAAATAACTTATGTATTTAAAATATTTTTTTCATTTAAATCAGTATTTTTAAATTCAACCCGAACCGCAGTTAAACTGATGATCAGATAATTCAGTTTTGATTTTTAAAAATATCCATATTTAAAAAATCACTAAAATCTTAGACTAACGGACTGGACCGATGGATAACTGATATGTAATATTTAAACATGTAAGTTTATTTTTGTTGTTTTATATATTATTTGAATTTGTTAATCGTTCTAAATAATTTGAAAGAAAATTGTGAGAAATTATTAAAGAGTGAGTTCTAATAATTTGTATTGTTTGAACATAATATTAATTATAGTGTTGTTTGAAAATTAACATGAATAGTAGTATAAAAATGAGTATATTATTTGGACATAAGATTAACTAGATGATATCCAGGCGCATGCGCGGGATGAGTTTTTTTATATTGATAATTGTTTGGTTTTAACATTTTGTAACACTATAATTTTTATCAATTGTAAAATGATGAATACAAATATCGATCTCTTAAATATATCATATGTTTAAGCATTTGGTGGTGTGTGGTTCGATTAATTCAGATTTTCAAATTTTTGGTATTATACTTTTAAAAATCCATTTGCGTTTTACTAATTATCGGATTGGTTTTGATTAGGTTCCTTTCGGATTTGGTTTAAATCAAATTGTAACTGACATATGAAATTGTACCAAGAAAATATTTTTGATACCTTAAAATTGATAAAATATTATCAAAATATTTAAATTATTCGTAAATCTAATTTAAAATTAGTTAAAATATCTGAACAAACTAAATGATATTCGAAATGAAAAATAAAACAAACTACAAAAATTCTCGAATACAATAAAATATCTAAATTATTACAATAATTACTTTCATGACCCATTTGATAGAAGTATTTAACTACTAACTAGTAAGAAAAATACAATAATTATTTTCATGACCCATTTGATAGAAGTATTTAACTATTAACTAGGAAGTGAAAAGAAAATCATATAAAGATACACGTGTTCACTTTTTCACAGATGTAGACAAGTGCCACATATTGTTTTAATTGAGATATCAGATTGAATCCCAGGTGTTAACAGGTGAGATACCAAGCCAACTACAACTTACCAGAAAAGAATATAATTAACTGATTATTATTCAAAATATCTTAAAGACTTTGTCACCTGTAGGCAAAAAATGTTATCACATGAGAAAATTCACCAACTCGAAACAATCTTTAATACATTTACTGTTTATGATTCAAATAAATCACAATACTACGACATTTATTTTCACAAATTAAGCATTGTGATAACATTCTGACCTTTTTTTTACAATTCTTTTAAGAACATTCAAGAAAAGTTAATTTAACGTTAGTTATTTGTCGACCAAAAAAAAACGTTAGTTATTTTTTGGATTTCAACAAAATATTACAGTACTTTTATACAGAATAGCAAAAATAATGATACTTACAAAGTATTACATTTTTTTTATTTTACTATACGAGATATTTTACTGCTTAAAATTAAAATTAATATAAATAAATAAAATCTTTCACATTCAAAATACTAGAATCACTTTCCAAATATGTTTTACAAGATTTAATTAATAATAAGTATACTAAAGATGTTTATTTTATAATCTTATAAAATTTATTACTTGGTCTTATTTCTATCTGTAATCTATTATTAAATATTTTCATGACATATACATGTATGGATATAAAATACTGGTCTTATATTTATCTTGTAATTTGTCAATAATTCTATATATGTAGATATTCATATCAACTATTCCACGCGTAAGTATATGGGGGAGGTTTTTATCTAGTATAGATACATATCTTAGAAGTGTACTATTTATAGTAAAGTTTATTTTCTGGGCACACAGATTAGTTATAATATATTAGTAAATATTCTAATTGGCTACAAAAAGCTATTAAAAGGAAATCAACAAAAATATTGAATACACAAGATCTGATATGAATAAGAGGAAAAGATAGAGATATCAAAAGAGAGCAAGAAGCTCTCACATTGACCTATATACAATACATGCATGTAAGTATAGATTTGTATATATATATATAAACAGCTAGAGTTACCCCAAGTCTACATATAGCTAACTTGAAAAAGACAAGAAGCTCTCACATGACCCGAACCACACCATCCTTAGGTCCCTTTTACTCTCTCTAAGATGTGTTCTTCTTCTCTATCATCAAGAAAATCTCTCAAACCCACTATTTTCTTCACCCTTTAAAGTCATCTAGAGAGAGAACCAAGTTTAAAATTGAAAAACCATTGATTTCATTTTTTATATATTTTGGAGTCAACGAAAATATCAGAAGAACAAGCAAACACAAAGAGTACGTCTGTCTTCTTCTGGATTCTAGGGTTTTGTACTTCATTTGTTCTTTTAATCTTGATTTTAATATTAGATTTATTAACTATTGCGGTTGTGGGTTTTATTTGGTTTCTGATAAATATTATCTCATAGTTGTATGATTTTCTTTTGAGTCATCATCTTGCTAGGATTCACTCATGAACTCCTTAAGAAAAAAAAAATTTGAAAACCATTTTGAATGATCGATCTTGAATTGGTTCATCCCCTTGTCTAACATGTTTTTTTTAAAAAAGGTGGTCACTTTCATCTAGTTTTCAATAAACCACTAAGATTTAAAATTTTGATAACTTTTACAAAATCTAAACTGGTTCAATCATCTTAAGAACACATATAACAAAGTTTAATACTTTAGATGGCTGGTGGCTCCAACAACAACAACTACTTCAATTTGGTGATGGGAGAGCACATGTTCAGCAAAACGCTAACACCAAGCGACGTCGGGAAACTAAACCGGCTCGTGATCCCAAAGCAACAAGCAGAGAACTACTTCCCCTTAGAGTTCAAACAAACCAGCAAGGTGTTGGATTTCCACGACAGAAACGGCAGGAAGTGGACGTTTCGCTACTTGTACTGGGGCAGTAGCCAGAGCTACGTGATGACCAAAGGATGGATCCGTTTCGTCAAAGATAAGAACCTCAACGAAGGAGACAGCGTCTCGTTCCTCCGTGGCTACGTCCCCGACGATAACGAACCAATGAGACTAAGGATAATCTTTTTCGTCGATTGGAGGCACAGATCCGACACAAACCTCGTACAAAACATAAACTGCTATCATCATCATTACCCGGTTTTCGTGTCTCCTCCGACTTATCCAACTGCTGGTTACTATCCCATGCCAAATTACCCAAGGCCACCACCTTTTTATTATAACCAATCACAAGAGAGGGATTTTTTAGGGTATGGTTATGGAGAGCGTTGCTACGCGGGACCACCGTTGGATCATCATCATCATCAGTATGGAAGATCTGAGCCGTTGGTTTATAACTCTTATCCTGTTTACCCGACCACGAGGGTACCTTCGTCTGACGCCATGCTGCCGCCTTCTCCTCCTCCTCCTCCTTCTCATCAGCAGCCGGAGGAGGGGACGGCGAAGAAGGTGAGGCTGTTTGGTGTCGATGTGGAGGAGTCTTCTTCTTCAGGGGAGGCACGTGGTGAAATGGGTGTGGCAGGGTACTCTTCGGCTATGCAGTTAAGCGATGATGAAGAATATAAGAGGAAAGGGAAGTCCTTAGACTTATAGAGCAAAGATTCTCTTCTATTCACCATTTTCTTTAAGTTCTTTCGTCTTTTTAAAAATTATTATAATGTAATTTGGCAATTGGAGAATTTATTATGTAGTGAGGAACTTCTCCGGGATTATATAATATTATCTTCTTCTTTTTTTTGTTTTGTTTTGAGTTTTGGTTTCAACATGCGAGTTCTTGAGCCCTAGTTACAACGTTGAAAATCCCCATCTTTCAAGAAACTTATATATATTAATAAATTTGACATTCTTATATTGAGTTATTAACTATACATTCATAATGATAAGATATATACCAATCCATGAATAAAATGTTACATCTTAATTTCTGTTATATGCACTATATATAAGTGAGAAGGATAAAAAGCTTATAATTTTCTTATAAAATGGTACTATCTGTGCCTATCTCTAGCTAAGTTGACAAAGTTTCATGGTACATTCTAAGCTAATGGGAAGTTCCAAAAGCTTTTTATGCCTCTCTAAGTCATCTCTCTAACCTATCTCTCTCTAACACATATGGTCCAATCTAAGTTTGTTTGGTTACTATTGTCTTAGCTTTGATTTAACTAAAAGGGATTTGTATTTTATGGGGAGAGAACAAAAACGAGAAGCTATGGAAGGACCATCTTAGTTTATACTAATAGATTAGAATATGAACCACAAAAGGTATGATATCATTTTTTTCTTTTTATTTATTTAAGATATATACTATTTCACATTTACTAGATTACACATATTTGGAATGAAATGATATGAAATGATCAATTCCATCAATTCCATAAAAATAATTACGCATTTAACTTGAATATAATGAAATGATCATTCCAAACCGGGCTTCTAACTCAAGTGGTAAAGGGCTTAAAGCTGTGAGTACCGTCACTTGGGTTCGAATCCCGACCATTGGGGAATTACTATTTCGGCATTGCCAGGGACAGATGACCGATACGTGGCAACACATGACTAGTCTGGATCACTTCTGTGAGGCCAGGATACCTTTGTATAATTCAAAAAAAAAAACAAATCATTCCATCAATTCCTAAAAAACTAAAAAAAATATAAAGCAAAATATTCAATTACAATTTTGCTAATGAATATATTTTATTTTTGTACTATATTTCATTCTTCTTTATTCTATTTACTCCTATCTTATTTTTTTTCTTTCTTGAAACCACTAATACTAGGGGTGGAACGGATCGGATATCCGGGGTATTTCAGGATATCCGGATCCGGATCCGGATTCGACGGATCCGTAAAATTACTATCCGGATCCGGATTCGGGCCATCCGGATATCCGGGGTCCGGATATCCGGACTAAAATCGGATACCCGCGGATATCCGGATCCGGTTTATTTTTAAAAAAAATTAAAAAAAAAAAAATTCAAAATTCAGTATTTATTTATTTTATTAAAAATTAGTATTTTCAAAAAAATTAAATTAAAATAATAGAATTTATTAATAAAATTAAATATTAGTTAGATTTAATAGAAAATATATAATATACCTTTATAAATATAATTATATTTTAAATAATTTTTAAATATTTAGTGAGCCCGGATCCGGATCCGGATATCCGGACTGAAATTTTCACTATCCGGATTCGGATCTGGATTCGCCGGATCCGTGAAATCACTATCCGGATCCGGATCCGAACCCCCCGGATATCCGTTTTTTCGGAGCGGATCGGATCGGATCCCGGATCGGATAGCGGATCCCGGATATAAGTCCCAGCCCTAACTAATACAGCCATACAGTGGTAGATCCACTTAAGGACAATGTAGTTTCAACATAACACCTCTTAAATTTGTATAAATATCAGTTTTTGTGTAAAATTTGCGAAAAGTTGGTATTTTTGGTAACAAGTGTTCGATCCTAATATGATCCCCTCATTTTATATATAATTTTTTGACTCTCCATAAAATAATTCCTAGGTCTGCCCCTAAAACCGTACGTTTTTGCTTTGGATATATAAGTTAAAAATGTTTTGTGAACTAAACTAGGGATATAGTTGAGAGCTATGTTATATGGAAATGGAAGCGGATGCGCGGAAGCAGAATCGTATGGAAACGTGGAAGCGAAATTTTAAAAACAATTAGGAAGCGGAAGCGTATTGGAAATGTATATCCAATTATATATATATAATAAGATTAAATAAAAATTATATGATTCTAATTAAAAATAAAGAATTTATTCATTTGTAATAATTTAAAATGATTTCATATTATAATTGTGAAAATAAAACAATTAATTTTATAAAATGTTATCTAATTATTTTTTAGTATTTTTATAAATAATTGGCCCAATACATTTGAATATATATGCTCTCTAATAAAAATATAGTGTATAAAGATATTTAATAGTATCAGTTTTAGTATTTGCATATATCTATTCTTTTCATTTTAATATTATTAAATTTTAGATTTTATAAAAAAATATAATTTTATATTTTTAAATTGTTTATAATATCGTGTTTTTAAAAATAGAAGCGTGATTTCAAAATGGAATCATAAGCTTTCAACGTGTTTTTATTTAGGTTATTTTAGAAGCGTGTTAGAAGCGAGATTCTGTAAGCTTCCACAAGGTTCCGATTTCGATTCCGATTCCGAAGCGGGAAGCAAACGTCCGATGAAGTTTCCATGCAACCTAGGTTGAGAGATCATCATAACCAATATCATATCTTACATATTAAAGACACAACCATCACCACATGCATGAATACTGGGCCAGACCTAATGAAAGCCATAGAAATTTTGAGTTCCAAATTAAAAGTACCATGATTGTATTTTTCTTTATGGTAAAATATATGCGTGTGTGTGAATTGTTCTATTGCATCATCACAATATGAACACTTAAATGTTACTATTGCATCGTACAATCATGTTGTCAACATATACACATATATTATATCGTCAATATGTACACATATATTATATTGTCTACGTGTACAATATGATATGAAATGATACATGTACATCGACTCATTTGTACATTTCTAAAATTATGATAAGTTGCATCTTAACCATAAAATTAATTTTGTGTGTAAAAACAATTATTTTAGGTAAAATTACAATCTATCTTTGTTCCTAAATGAAGACTTTAAAGTATTCACCCATATTAAGATTACTATGAATATTTAGAAATTTTATCTTTATAGAACAAGAAAAAATTCTAAAAAGTTTACTTTCTTTAAACAAAATTATTCTTTGATCAAAGATTTTGTTTCTATTTTTTTAATTTATAAAAAAATAAATTGTCTATCAAGGTTTGGATAAGTTGAGTGGTTGGATAGGTTAACATTTAACACTAACCTCTTCTTTTAGCAGTAGTAATCGGAGAAGATGAGTTCACCGTCGGTTTGTTATCTGAAAACCAAAGTCACATGTAATAATCTATAATTAATGCTTTACCGAGACGAGATAATGTGGAGGGTCGATGGAATATAATAAAAGGTATATCTTGTGGTTAGAAATTTAGACAGATATATGTCTTGTCAAAAAGTGAAAAGAAAATCTGGACCCTCCAAATGGAATCAAGATGTGTGGTGTGCAGGTGTCTCCCGCTAAAACTGACGCTGAACAGCTCGTGAAATAGTTGAGAAGGTAACTAGAAGAAGAATAAATATATGGGAGAAATTGAGCTGTTAACAAAAAGTGTCGTAGGAGCAATAAGTGTCTCTGGGTGACATTAAAAACGCAAAAGTGCCTCTGGATGTAATATTTTCATATATTTTCTGATGGTATATAAAAAATGAAAGTCTTGCATGGCAAGTGTGATACACACGCCATATCCTAAACACTCTCAACTTTACTGACCGACGTTTTGCAGAAGCTGGAGGAACTACGGTTTCCGGCGTCTGCTGGCATCTGTAGTGACCTTCCCCCCTCCCAAATTCTGGTCAAATTGATGGAGTATAATTTGTCAGTGACTCCTATGTTGCGTCATGTTGTGGTATTCTCTCACCTCTCCGCAAATCGGTGCGTCATGTTGTGGAAGAACCCCTATGAGAGCCTCTTGGTCTGGTGCCTTGTCGGAACTATGGCGGCTGATCTTTGTAACCGGATAATGGGGGCGTTGTCGGAAACCATAAGTCAGTCATTGGGGTGGAAGTTTGTCTTTCCTTATAGCTCAAGGGAGTTTCAGTGAGGAAAGAAGGTTTTCGTCTCTCACCGCGCTTTGATGGGTGGGGGGATACGCAGTGGTTCAGACCAGTAAAGTGGTAGACACAACCTCCTCACGACGGTTAAGGTTTTGAATTCGGTCCGGCGGTTTGCCGTTGGTGTTCACCGGAGAAGAGAAACTTATTCCCTAGTATTTTCACCCTCAGTCTTATTTCTATTTTCCTAATATTTGTTTATTGTTTCTTTCTGCCACATTCGGTTGTAACCAGTGTTTTGAAATCCGATCCGGACCTGCGGTTGAACCAATAAACCCAGTGAACCAAGATAATTTCGGTTTGGGTTTTGTGAAAAAAACAATATTTAAAACCCCAGTAAAATCTGCAAAAACCCACTAAAACCCGAAACTCGGCTACCTGTTGAACCAATAAATAATTTTTACTTTTTTTAGGTTTAGTTATGTTTTGATTGAACTTTCTTATTCATATATAATACCAATTACATTATTTTATTTATGATTTTTAGATTTTTATGAAGTTAATGTACCACTGGAAGAAAGTGAAGTGAACGATAGTAGAGAGAATCAAAATTAGTTGATAATTTGATGTTAGTTTATTTTACTATCAATAATTTATTACAATTATGTTTTACTTTTGGTTTTGGATTTAAAGTTGAATTTTATTATTCACATTAGACATTTAAACATTTATGAATTTTAATTTTAACATTTTTTGTTAGATGTCATAATCCTTAAATTCTTAATTTATTACAAAAAGATAATAATTTAAATTAATATTGATATTTTGTATGTCAAGTGAAAATAAAAATATAGAAACTAAATTTTAATATATACTAAAGGATTTTTAAAACATAAAATATATACATTTCTAAACTATTATTTTGTGTTTTGAAAATATTTAGAAAATCTTTAATTCTAGAGTAATATATTATTATAGAATAAAATTAATTAATTTATTAATCCACTGTTCACCCGCGG